GAAAAATGTCTTATTTCGGTTTGCCTTTAATTCAATATTTACTGTGAACTTTGAGCCGTAGTATCCCAGAATCTAAGCACTCGCTGTAAATTCAATGTACGCGATCAACCCGGGTTCAATCTCTACCAGCAACTATGAAAGTGTTGATTGCAATTGACGACGAAGGAAAATATCGCGAGGAAACTGCAGGTCTAACGAATAGAATATTTTGATGAAATTTGAAGTCCGTCAACACGCACTTACGCAATATGGTGTACCTACTAAAAACTCCACTGCAAATGAGAGGAGCGACATAGCTAAGCTGTAACTTTAACTTTAATAATTTTTACAGTTAGTTGCACGTAATGGACGATTACACGACTATACGAAGAAAATCTTATCTAATATCAAAAATTAGTGGTGTTTAGTTACATTGACATGTGACACTTTGGGGTGAAGGCTAGTTAATATTACCATTCCACTACAAGAACAAGTTCCAAATTCAACAACCTTAAATCTTACTTAACTCATACTTTTATGTCACATCAAATATTTGAAAGTCTCCATCTTTCATCCGACGCTGACCTTCACAATGTTAAGTTTTGAAACGTATAAAACATTTTTGCATGTAATTTGAATATTATAATGTGATTAATTGTTTATAATAAATTGTTTACTAACAATAAAAAATATTTTCATAATCAGCTTAAACTCACAAACATGGGAGTCATCCATTGTAGAGAGAATTTTCCATAATCACCGCGATTTGCAAGTGGATTAGACTGATGAATAATTATTTATGGTAAATTATTAAATGAGCGGAAAAAATATTTTTGCGACTACAAGTCGTTAAACCATTACCGTTATGTTAACGGTATTCTTTAATGCTGACTTAAACATTTTTATCTTTAGAAAAGTTTACTGAACTGCCCTCTAATGTTGATGACTAAAAAAGTTTAAAATTGGCTACAAAAAGTTACAAACAATTTTCATATTCATAATGCGTATTAAGATTTTGAAAGAGTGATATAAATATAATAAATGAGAAACTAAAATACTGAGTGAGCAACGAAAACACTGAATGTAATTGCCAGTAGGTTAAGGTGCGGTTGGGGTGGCCCAACACCCAAAAAACATCAACCACAAAAGCAGCGGACATAAATCGATAATTTAAAATTAAACATTTTGTACAACCTACTTCAATATATATTATATTGGATAACTCAAAAATTATTAGTCATACCTTGAACAAATTTATATGGGACCACATAAGAGGCACCAGCTTTCAATTAAAAAAAGAATCATCGAAATCGGTTTACGTAGAATAAAGTTATGAGGTAACACACATAAACAAAAACATATAGTCGAATTGAGTACCCCCTCCTTTTTGAAGTTGGTAGAAAAAAACAATAAAAGTGTCTGTTAGTAATGTCCAAATAGCAGCTTTATACTAAATGCATGAAAGTATATACGGTACGTATAACAAACAAAAATTTTAAATTTTTGCCTGTCTGCCTGTTTGTTCCGGCTAATCTACGAAAAGGCTGGGCTTATTTTGACGGGACTTGCACTGGCAGATAACTGATATTATAAGGATTTCTACGTGGTAGAGCCATGCTGCAGCCATATTATAGTTGTAGCACGAATGGGTCGGCTCGAACGGGGTAGGACCACGCTCTCACAGAAAACCAGCGTAAAATAGCAGCTTAACGCTGCTGCGTTTCGTATGGTGAGTGTAGAGAACCGGAGACCCTTTTTACTGGCAAAGACGCATTCCATCTTAATCCTCACGGGTAACAACGCATCTGCATCTTGAGTCTTTATTGAGGATAGATGTAGATGTCTATGGGTCACAGTAACCACTTACCATCAGGTGGACTTTGTGCTCGTTTGTCACCCGATCCTATAAAAAAAAGGAGTAAGTTAGGCTACATTTATTATAGAAAAAGAATTAGGGCTCCGCGCACAAAAACTTAAAACCCATGTAATCCAATCGTAATAAATTCCAAGCAAACGAAGTCGCGGGGAACAGCTAGTTTAATATGAAAATAGATAACATTAGGCGAATTTTATCTACATATTAATGTGCTGAGCAAGACATTTTTGGGTGTGGTTTTGGTTTCGCTTTATTTTTATAATGAGATGATTTTAGGTAAATTGCAGCTCAGTTTAAGTAATAGATTAGCCTAGATATAATATAATGCGAGACATAATGTCACAAACAGAAATATGGGCGCTCAAACAACATCATGCTGCTATTTGTAATGTCAAAATAACAGCTTTTTACTAAAGCATATGCGTATATACGGTACTCGTAACAAAAACACAAATTTAAATTTTTTGATCTGTCTGTCTGTCTGTTTGTTCCGGCTAATCTCCGGAATGGCTGGACCGATTTTGACGGGAGTTTCACTGGCAGATGGCTAATGTAGGCAGTAACTTAAGCTAATTTTATTTCAGAAAAGTATAAGGGTGCCGCGAAAAAAAAAAGAACTTTAAATTCAATCGTAATAAATTACACGTGGGCGAAGTCGCCGGGAACAGCTACATAGTAGTAAATATAATTAGGGTGACTTACTCACTGTTTTCGGACTTTTTAGTCGCCCACCTAGTACTCTAATAACCATTAATCAATATTTATGAAACCAAGAATTTAAATTTAGATTCATTCGTTTAAATACGAGTACCATCATTTATTTCTTCGGTATACGGATGTTTTTATACTAAAAAGGTCCAACCCAGAAAACTTCTTTTAAGATATTAAAGTTCGTAATTGGTATCGATACTTTTTGGCCTAGTGGCTTGTTTAGATTTGTTTATATTTTTAATTATTATAGCTTGCGACTTGCTTTGCTGAATTGTTATTACTTTATCAAAATATCGACTCTAAGAAATATTTTAACATGTATTTTTTTTCAAATCTAGTGTGGTTTGAATTTGCGTAACTACTTCCATATTAAACCTCCTGACCAATTTTCGGTCACGATGACACAGCTTCTGAACATAATCGGAAACTATAAACTCGCGGAATATAACATTGTAGCACAATTGTATGCGCAAACAAATACTCTCACTCGTTTCAACCGTTCCACCAATGCCCGTTGTGACGCTTCTGCGATAAGAACCAAGGTATACTAACAAGCATTTTCCGAGAGACGGGGACAAACAACATAACCAAAACCAGCTACAGCTGTATTTATAATATTTTCGCTCAAATGTTGGCTCCGGGTGGGATTCAAACCTAGAACATGCGGCGTAATAGATATATGGTTAATTATTAAGAGTAATTTGACCACTTACACACACGCGTATATAATTTATTGAAACGACTTAAAAACCTCAATCTATTTACTAAATTATTTTTAAAGATCTAATTGAATATTAGTTTATACATATATTACCTGCGAAACCAACGAAGTTTACCGAAGAAAGTTTACCGACCAAATTTTTTTTTAAATTGAAGAGACAATCTAACTTATAGTCCACGGGCACCTATAACCAATTTCGAACAAAGGAGGCTACGGGTGCGTTGTCACCTCTAAGGACTAAGATGGAATGCCTTACAGACTGTAATTAGTACCCTTAAGAATTGGACATTAGAATGTGAGAGGTGTGTCAGAATCATGGCACATGGAAGTCCGTAATTTACTGCTTACCCCTCTGAATGATAGGTGTGATAGTTTATGAATTTTATATGTATTATTTCTATTCTCCGACCGAATGTTAATTTACCTGGACGAAGCCGAAGGCTATCACCACAACCTTCACACAATTCAGTTCAACATTGGCTAAAATGAATAATATAAATGTTTTTAAAACTTTTAAATTAAAGTATTATATTGACTGTATAATATAAATAAGTAATTTTCAAATCTTTTCTAGAAGTTGACCTAGAGATGACAAAAAATGCGTCGCCACAATTTCGGCACTTGCTTCGGGCAAAACTTAGGCCCATTTTAGACGAAACCGAAGGTTTCGCCGAAGGTGGTCAAAGCTGAAGCTTCGATTAGGCACTAATTATTTCGTATGGCTTTCATAAAGCCTATAGATATAAGTGCCACTGTTGAGCACAGACCTCTCCTCATTTCAGGGAGATAATTCTATCATAATTAAAACAAAAAAATCTGATAATACACGTCTCATTGCACCCATCAACTATATTTATACAATGGAACGGTCCCATAGTAAAGGGCTCTCAGTCATAATCTCAACATTGCTTGACTATGTCGCAACTAAAGCTTGACACACATACGATGCTCGTCGTAATCCACAGCCGTCACTTTGAATAAAATGTGCAAATCGTAAGGACACTTGAAGCTAACAGTGGTCTAAGAGATCTTTGTCATTACCGGCGTATCGCAAGCGATAAAGGTTAAAATATTTTTTTGTTTCTATTATTGCATTATTATAATTGTATATTAATTAGAAGCAACCCTAAAAGCAATTGAAATTTATTTACTCTTAAGTAAAAAAAAAAACAATTAATTATTAAAAATCCTGATCTTAGATTTTGTATTACATTTTATTATAGATACTCTTTTGACGAAAGTTTTATTGAATTCGTAATTTAAAATTTAAAATTTTGTACAACCGACTTCAATATAAATAATTAAGAATAACTCAAAAACTATTGGTCAGACCTTGATGAAATTTATGTGAGACCACATGTGAAGCACCAGCTTTCAAATAAAAAATGAATCATGGAAATCAGTTCGTCCAGAAAAACGTTATGAGGTAAAACACATAAAAAAACATACAGTCGAATTGAGTACCGTCTCCTTTTTGAAGTCGGCAGAAAATATTATGAAATACAATTTTTTTTATAATATCTGAATACAAAACAAGTTACAATATAGCTTGTAAAGGGATGATTCAGTAATAATTATATCGTTCTTTTGTTTTGATTTTAAGAACTACTCATCTGCAAGTATTATGTTAAATTAAATTATATTGCCACGTTAGTTGGCGATTTTCATCCCCAAACACACCCCAATAAACCCCCTGAGTTAATGTGTACTTACCTTGTTGTGAGGAATAAAATAAATACGACGGCGGGAAAAATCACAGAGGCACTGTCGTAATAGCGCGAAGCTGGTTTGGGCGACGTCTTTTATAGCGGTAGTAGCGGGGATGCGTCGGCCGTGCGTTCGCGCATGGGGGGAACGCGACCGATACCGCACAACGAGCTTCTGAACATAAAAACTAATTGTTCGCAAAGGATTAATGCATTATTTCAAATAATAAATACATAGCTGTATATGTCTTTCTCAAGATGGTTATTGATCACAGCAATGTATTCACAGTTTGTGCCACCATTTGATAAGAGATAATTACCCATACGCCCGAAGTCGATCACAGAACAATAGATACAATATGTAGGAGGTTCTCTAACAAATATGATCACTTACAAATCTTTCATCTTTTTCTTTATCAGAGTCTCTGAGTTAGCTTTCCGTGTTTGTAAACTAAACTATTGGAATGCCCACGTCATGTCCTAAAGAACAGGTTGTAATTTGGTTGAAATAAGGTGGAAAAAAGGCTGGTTGGTAACAACCAAATAACTAGATAATAAAGTTGAACTACAAATTATGGTACGTAATATAATGGTGTTTCTTTGAAAAGGTCATTGACCAGCCATGGAACCAACTTGTCAGGCGGGATTTTTATTTGAATAAGTATGAATATTTTGTCACTAATAACTTGTCACACGTAATATCAAATGCTCACGTGCGTAGCTGGGAAGAGAGTGCCCTCAACACATGAAAATTCAATATGACAAGAGAAAAAAAATTACCTCATGTAATAGTATTTGGAGCCAAAACAATGTTGGTTACTTTCACCATTATACTGACTTATTCTTGTTTCCTGTAGCATTGCGGTCCTTCAACAATTAATTCGAACTATTTACGTGTTACAGCCATAGATCTTATTCTTAAAGAGTGGCTCAACTACATAACGATTCGTACGGCTAAATTATTTTTATATATTTACCACCTCAAAAGTATACAAGTAATATTTTTGCTTGGGTTTTTTGTTGTTTTACAATATTGGTTCAAGGAGTTACGTGCTCCACCTAATATGTGCAAATTCGAGAAATTCTAGTAAAGTCCAATAAATTACATCATAGATTAAACCGTGAAGAGAGTATCATCAATTTATATTTACCGTTAAATTAATCAACGTATCAATTCTTTTTCAGCCCATGAGGGAAGAGTCCACTGCTAGTTGTAGGCCACTTCTGTTGGCAGAAGGACCGCATGGCAAACATTTATAATATGGTGGAATCTAATTATCCCACTACACCGAAGCTTTAATGATAATTGTAACATCAAGAAAAATAATCCGTTTCTACCATTATTATCTTCATCAATTAGCATTTATCATATCATATAGCGCTGAAAATGTTTTTTCCAGAATAATTATGTAGAAAAGTGATATAATCAGAGTGAAGTAGAGATGGGATTGTACGGAATGATTTATTGTATGTAAAAGTAAAAAATTGTATAAGTTGTATGTTCTTAATTTTAGTTTTTTATACAAGTGTTCCACTAGTGCAAAATTATGTTAGTGAAGGATTTACTGAAGAAGAAAGGTTAATGTATGAAAAAAAAAAGATTGTCAGTATAGCGGAAAATCCATCTTTGAAATTGTAATATACTCAATAAATATGAAAATTTCTGCGAGTGTAAATTGGAAGCCACATAAGGAACATAACATTTTTATTTTTGGCCAATCTGCAATACTAAGTAAACAAGTCTACAGTAAGTAAGTCAAATCAATTGCGAAATAATATAAATATATAATAATTAAATAAATTGTCATTGTTTCACCAATCTGCAATACTAAATAAATAAATCTATAGTAAATAGTCAAATAAATGGCAATAAAATGGACGATGATAAGAGAAAATAACATTCGTAGAAGCAAATTTTATTAAACCGGATATTAAAATAAGTGGCGCCAGACGCGAATTATTTTTAAAATATTTATGGCATTTTAAAAAGATAAACAAATTTATAAGAGTATGTAGATAGGACATTATTCGGTAATTTCAAAGGCTTGTAAATGGTTTAGCTCTACATCGTAAAGGAAGCGTTGTATTATTTATTCATTCATTTGTTTAGTAGAATTATTTAATTTACCCTTTGTTTTGCATTATTTTATTATAAAGGATAAAGAGGGTGGATAGTGCTTGTAAGCACTTACACGTTTAATATTGATTATTTAAAGTACAGAAAGTAGTAGTTATCATATATACGAGGCAGTATCGTTTTTGTGTCTAAAGTTTTAACATACATATAATGACTATTGAATAAGAGCTATGACGAGACTGAGACTGTTTAAAAAAAATTAAAAACCGACTAGCTCTTTGAAGTTGCTTTCTACTTTTTATTAAAAGTTTTAAGCCATTTCGAGTGGACTAAGGAACATCTCATGTTGTACCAATAGTTACATTAAACCTTCCTTTCCTATCTTGCCAATTTTAGGGATGGATTTTTTCTCTAAATATATATAAAGTATTATCAAACATTGGTTCACGGCGACAATTGATGAAGTTATAGCGTAATTTACATACAAAAAACAACATACACTCGAATTGTAAAACTCCTTCTTTTTTTGAAGTCGCTTAGAAGTGCGCGTAGAAACTAATTTACGTCACGAAATGTATTTATATATGTATATATGCGTGAATAATTAAGAATATAACAAAAACATGCTTAAGTCACTCCTAGTGTTTATTATAAATGACTTAATCAACGCGCATCTTTTAATAATACCTACACTTTTTTCGAAAAAAAAGTCTAGGATAATTGATATGGGTGATAATATAATATAGCATAATGTAATATATACTATAATATATTCCTTACATACGTCATATCATAATAACCTTGAATTGTGATAGTCACATGCTGAGTCAGATTAGGCTCATCGCCACTAGTCACGAGATCGATACAATTAAACGTTTCTCTTAACATTAATAACCCCGTTCCACATTAACGTGTCGTTCACAACATTGAATTATAAGTTAATGCAGGCTGCATCATCCTTAAGAAATAAATTTTAATGTGAAGACTTCAAGGCGTTAAATGAAATAATAAAAATATTTGAAATAAGTAAACTGATTTCGAATCTTATAAATTGGACTTTTGAGTGTTAGTAAACTGAATGAAACCGCACCCTCTTTAAAGCTCCTCACAGCTTTTAAAAAAATTACTGAAATTAAAATTAAAAAAAAACACGAAACAAAAAACTTGATGATCTTTAAACGGCTGAACAGATTTTCTTGGAACATAGCCAAGAACATTCTAGATTAAGACGCCATTCAACCGAAAATACTTAATCAAAATCGGTTCATGCGTTTAGGCACTACGACGCCACTGACACAGATACACACTACAAATTTATAACACCCCTCTGTTTGTTTCTGAGGTTAAAAAGAGGACTTATAAGAGCTAATGAAGAAGAAACAGATGTATGTTTATTATTGTTCCTCCTTTTAATCCTCTTTCGCTCTAAAGTTTTCACAAATAGTGAATAGAAAAACATTCGCAATGGCTGAGTCTAAGAACCATACGAATCATAACCAAAATCGCAAAGCTCATCAAAACGGTATCAAAAAACCTAAGGAGTTCAGGCATGAAAGTACCCTGGGGATGGACCCCAAATTCTTTTTTTTTTATAGGATAGGGTGACAAACGAGCACACAGTCCACCTGATGGTAAGTGGTTGCTGTGGCCCATAGACATCTACATCTATCTTCGATTGCGAATCAAAATGCAGATGCGTTGTCACCCGTGAGGACTAAGATGGAATGCCTCGTTTCCAGTAAAAAGGATCTCCGGTTCTCTACACTCACCATACGAAACACAGCAGCGTTAAGCTGCTATTTTACGCTGGTACTAGTATTCTTGAGGAATCAATGGTTTTGCAAAAAGGGGAACCTGAAACCTGTCAAACAGCTTACACGTGCTGCCGAGAAAAAAGCAGCTCGAGAAGCTAAGGCTTAAAAATGAACCATTAGATTGTAAGGAATAAAAAGCTAAAGCTAATGTTATCATTCATAAGTTCGTAGTCATTGATATACAAAAGAACTCGTAGTGGAAAAAAATAATCGATTACCTCATTTAGTTCCGTGAATGTAATAAATGTCAAGTAAAAGAAATGCCAGATGAACTTATAATAGTCACAATAATCTCCTAGCATTTCTTTCAGTGAAATGGTGATAGTACCATCTGTCAGAACAGATTGTGTGGAATAGATTAATTAATTTGTGATTCAAAGACTCACACAGTGAACTGACTGCACCGGGCGTAGATAGTTCAGTGCGCCCACTTGGAAGAGCTTCCTCCTTGCACAATTATGGTAAAATTTATCTATACATTTATAAAAAAAATAATGCCTGTCTGTAATATCCAATTAATTGCCTTTTGCTAATCTTTGGAACTTAATCTATTGTAATGAAACTTAACGAACAAATAAAGAACATGCCAGCAGTGATCTCGGCTATATTGTATTTTTTTTATAGGAGAGGGGGCAAACGAGCATGCGGCTCACCTGATGGTAAGTGACTAATCATTGGATGATTAAAAAATGAATACGTAAACTAAAATGCTAAAATGTTATTAAATTGGCATAATATTTGATTCGACTTAATACAATTATGATTAATAAAACTTTAATGTGAATATGCGTGTGTGTGTATGTGTATGTGCATATATATGTATTGGTATATAAATAATGTATTCACACATGTATATATATGTATGTTTGTATGTGTATATATATATATATATATATATATATATATATATATATTTATATATATATATATATATATATATATATATATATATATATATATATATATATATGTATATACTGGTAAAAAGTTTAAAAAATATATCTAAGAAAGCTTATATAGCATTGACCAAGTATTAATTGCGCTCAATTAAGGATGCATATCACTTCCAGTCTCTATAGTTCAACGTCAATTCGATTAAGCGAAGTTATGCTTCGCTTAATAGAATTGTATCGTCGGTATATGAATATTTTTGCACTCTGCGGTCCAACCAAATAGTGTAAACGAATGCTAATTTTAATCGTTGCATTCTACTTTTATTATTTTACTTTGCAAAGCTGTGTATAAAACTGTGTCATTTTATTTTGTTATCACTTTGTTTGTGTGTCGTGCCGTTTGAATTAAGCTACGAGTATGTAACATTGTGAACATTTCTCATGTAAGTGAATTATAATTCTTTTGAGAAATAAATATCTTAAACCACATAAGTACAGAATTAACTTCCGTATTATAAAAGTTAATAAAAAACTATCTAATAAATGTCTATGCACTTGAATTGTCGTAATTAAAATTTAGGTAATGGTGCAGAAAAACTAATTTTTCTGCATTTTCAGGCAGTAGTTTACTCCTTTTCTTGTCGTGGACAATCCCAGCTTCAGAGAAAAAACGCTCAGAATATCCTTCCTTCCTAGCCGAACACTTTTGCATAATATTCGGCTATTCGGCTCGGAAGCCCGCAAAATATTCAGTGTTCGACGTATGGCCGAATATGCTGTTCGTTTAAAGTCTAATCTAAACGACACAAGACTTGTGCCCAACACTGGGATGTATGCATGGCTATTTAACTAAATTAAGAATCTGTTTTTGTGCACCCTAATAATATTAATCTTAACAACATAAACCGCATTTTTTGTTAGGGTTTGTCAGTTAAATTTTCAAATAAGAATTCAAAATTGGTTTAGCACTAAAACAAAGTAGCTAACAAACAATTTATTTAAAACTTACATCAACTACTAATTATTCATTTTCAAAGAACGATCTGATAAAATGTGAATAAAATATTATTTTAAACTAGCGTTACCCTCGACTTCTTCCGCGTAGAACACTTGTAGATCTATATTAGTGATTCTTGGGCAAGTAGTTTAATTAACAAAAACAATTTTAAGCTCCGTTTTTTGTAATTATGTCGAAAACTTTATGTGATATGAAAAATTACATTTAATTATTATAAAAATTTAAAATCTATTAATTTCACGTAAAAAAGTTTTGATCACCTTATCCTAGAACAGTGTTAGGGTAGAAAAAAAATGTTAAAAATCGATTTCGCATAATAACTTTAAGAGATACTAAGAAGAAAAAGTTTTAGGACCTTTTTTATGTAAAATTGTAAACAAAAAAATTATTCGAAACTTTTTATATCTCATATAGTGTATAAAAACCATTTATTTTATTAGTTTTTCCATTCCACAAAAAACCTTTTGTTTGTTTGCTATACTTTATCCTCTAAAACATGTTTTTAGCGGATAAAGTATAGCCTAGAACCTACATATATCACTCATGTTATTGCTCTCTGTATGTATTCGTGAGGTTACATCACGATCAGTCCGACCATTACAAAGATTAGCTTGGACTGAAAGACATACAAACACACAAGAATTAAAAAAATGGTTATGGTTATCGGTTAACAGCATTCAATTAACCTCCTAAGCTTAATTGAAGCCAGTTATTTCAATATTACAGATAAACACTTCAATTTTATTTATATGTATAGATGAAGCATTCCACACGTTCATTTATTGAAATTACCTAAAGGCGGTTATTTTACTTCATACCTTTTACGTGGATAATATAACGGCAGCCGTTTCATTTCAAATAAATTCCGTAACTCAACTAAATGATAAATGAAGTTAAAGATATCTTATAAATTAGTTCTCTCTATTTCATTGATAGATTGTTAGAAGAGAGAGATTTATTGCTACGACTAAGGCGAAAACCAAGTATATTATAATATTATAACTTGGTCGTATACGACTACCCTTTCTATAAAATAATTAGAGATAAGATTACAAAAGGGCACGCGTGTTATGATCATTTATTTTATGAACTAAAACCATAGATTTAAATTTTTAATTATTAGTTTAGGGAAAACAACCTTTATGCATATTATACATATTATATATAGAAAGAATAGAACAGAATATTTTTTTTATTCAATATTGATTATTACATAATACTTATTGAAAGTCATTTTTTATTTACCACTGTTTCGGAAATCACCTCTGTCCTGGGAAAAACCAGCAAGAAACCCAGCAGGACTTGTTTTTAAACATATTTCACTTAACAATAATTTTCTTTATACAATTTTAAATGAATTTTCATAAAACCAGCATGGTGGCGATCACCTTATTCCAAGGGGTTATTTTCATTGATGTATTCCTTGATATTATAATAACCCTCTTTGTAGTTTTTCTTTAATAAAACTTTTAAACTTGTTTATTGACAAACTTTGAACATGTTCTGGGATTTTGTTGTAAAAGCGTATACATTGCCCCATAAATGAATTACTGATTCTGTGGAGTCTAGTAACTGGCATTACAAGCGTATGTTTGTTCCTAGTGTTTAAAGTATGAACATCCTTATTCTTATTAAAGCTATTTATGTTTTTATGTTCATACATTACATTTTCATAAATATATTGTGATGCCAAAACTCTTTACAATTTAGGTTATAAATCGCCCGTACGGCTGTCTTTTGCAAAACAAATATAGCTTCAATATCAGTCGCATTACCCCATAACAAAATTCCATAAGACATTACGCTATGAAAGTAACTAAAATACACTAATCTGGCTGCCTAAACAGTGGTAGAGCCACGCGGCAGCTTTTGCTGTGGCACGGATGGGCCGGCTCGAACCGGGGTAGTACCACGACCTCACAGAAATCCAGCGTGAAGTAGAGGTTTACCTCTGCGTTTCACTTGGTGAGTGCAGGTGGTCGGCGGCCCTTTTTACTGGAAATGAGTCATTCCATCTTAGTCCTCACGGGTGACAACGCATCTACATTTTGATTTGTAACAGAGGATAGATGTAGATGTTTATGGGCCGCAGCAACCACTTACCATCAGGTGGACTGTGTGCTCGTTTGTCACCCTTATCCTATAAAAAAAATCTGTGAGACTTCTAATCTTTCTTACAGTATATGCTGCAGAACTAAGTCTGCTTGCTAATTTAGATATATGATATAATATGTATCCTTATTGTACAGGTAGGTTAAAAAGGTCTATCGTATCGATTGTTAAAATAAATAAGTTCGTCTGTATATACAATTTTGTGTTGATGAAGATTGTGTATATAAATAAATAAACAAATTAAATGTTATTTGCAAATTATTTCTAAAAATATGACAAACTAAACCAGCAAGTAAAGCTCATTTATTTTCACTGCAGAGGAAAATATTCTAACTTATTTTTTCTTACTTTGACTTAGTTGTACAGCCACGTTGGAATTTACCAAACATTTTTGAAAGCCATTCGTGAAATTGCATTGTCAGATACATAGAAGTCATTAGAAATTAAATTTGACGCCTTTTCAAAAGAATTGGTTGGTAGGAAGAAATTTTAAAAATTGTACATCTAATATATAAGGTCGGAGAAAAAGTTTCTTCGTATTTTATATACAAATTGAAGACTTTTTTTTTCAAAGTTTAATTACATTTAATTATTTAATTTTGTTCGGCAACTTGTTGACATGTTCTAGGAAGTGACATAATTCCGTTGCTGTAGAAAATCTTGCGATTTTTCATCAAAAAAATGCGTCAAGTAGTTTTGACAGTTCTCTCTTGATTTTAACCTAACACTACCCAAAGAATACTGAAGAGACCGCAACGTGAAAACCTGAGGGTGCAAGGTCAGGACTATATGGTGGATATATTAACACTTCCCAAACAAGCTCTCTCAATTTTTGCTGATTCGCCAAAGATATGTGTGGTCTGGGGTTATCATGATGAAAGACCACTCCTTTTCTATTGATCAAATCCGGCCGTTTTTCCTGAATTTCTTGCTTGGGTCTCATTAGTTGTTGTCACTAGAGATCCGAATCGATGGTTTTACCCGGCGGTACAAAAGCTCATAATAAACTTTGAGGTATAATGTACTTACGTACCTACTAGAACAGATATGTCAAACAAAAACTCTTCGCTACTCTATTTCGTT